AGAGAAATTGTCCCCTCCAACTTTATTTCTTTCTGGCTTCTGGAAATTGAGGCAAGTTGAGACCTTTCCCCCAATTCAGTGTCACTAAGAAGGTCTGTGTTGAACTTGGCCATCTGCATTAATCACAGCCTGGGGAACGTGTCAAGGAGACAACCTTGGCTACTTTTCCAGTGGCTTAACCTACTATAGTCACCTTTTTCCAGAGGACACATTCTGAGACTGGCTAGGTACAGTTCCACACATACGAAGCTGTGGTAAATTTAATTTATAATTGAACACAGCAAGAGATTAACAATAATTGTAGCAACACACTTTTATGAAAGATTTTTAAAATTTATAAATTGGGCCATGCATGGAGCAATTATTTTAATTAATTGTTTTCTTTTCCTTCGTTTTTCAAGACAGGGTTTCTCTGTAGTTTTGGAGCCTGTCTTAGAACTCGCTCTGTAGACCAGGCTGGCCTTGAACTCAGAGATCCACCTGCCTCTGCCTTGTGAGTGCTGGGATTAAAGGTGTGTGACACCACCACTGGGTTTAATTAATTACTTTAATTAACATTAAAGTTAATTAAATGACCAAAGCACTGAGATTGGAAGGCAGTGTCAGGCAGACCTCTGAGTTTGAAGCCAGCTTGATCTCTACATAGTGATCTCCAGGCCATACAAGACTACATAGTGAGACCCTGTCTCAAAAACCAAAACAGTATCTAAATAATATGAATTATTATTTAAGTTAAATATTACTTATTTGTGTGTGTAAGTCATAGGCAAGCTACTAACTGAGTAAAGAGGCCAGAGGACACTTGTGGGAAGTGGTTCTCTTTTTACCACGTGAGTCTCAGGTATGGAACTCAGGTCATCAGAGTGGGTGGCAGGCACCTTTACCTGGAGCCATCTTGCCAGCCCTATAATACTTATTTCAAAATTATATAACAAGTGAAGCATGTTGGCATGTGCCTGTGGTCCCAGCCGTCAGGAGGCTAAGGAGATTTGTGAGTTCAAGGTCATCCTGGGCTACATAGGGCATACCAGCCATCTTGGGCTAAGTAATAGGACCCTGTCTCTAAAAACCAAAATTAACAAATGAACAGCCATTAAGAATTCTTTTCTTGGGGCTGGAGAGATGGCTTAGAGGTTAAGAGGACCAACTGCTCTTCCAGGGGTCCTGAGTTCAATTCCCAGAAACCACATGGTGGCTCACAACCATCCATTATGAGATCTGGTGCCCTCTTCTGGTGTTCAGACATACAGGGAAGTAGAATGTTGTATACATAATAAATAAATAAAATCTTTGAAAAAAAAAGAATTCTTTTCACCAGGCAATGGTGGCACACCTCTTTATTCCTAGCACTTAGGAGGCAGAGGCAGGCAGATCTCTGAGTTAGAGGCCAGCCTGGTCTACAGATTGAGTTCCAGGACAGGCTCCAAAGCTACACAGAGAAACTTCGTCTTGAAAAACCAAAAAAAGAAAGAAAGGAATTCTTTTCACTGGGTGATGGTTGCACACACCTTTAATCCCAGCACTTGGAAGGCAGAGGCAGACAGGTCTTTAAGTTCCAGGACAGCTAGGACTGTTACACAGAAAAACTTTGTCTTGAAAAACCAAAGGAAAAAAAGAGAATTATTTCCAAATAAGCAGAAATGTTAGGAAGTGAGGAATTACACATAGTTTGTGACTATGTCCAAAGCTGTGAGGGCATGGATGCCTATCAGAACCAAAGAGGGGAAGGTACTTTCCTCACAGTCACACTGCTGTAGTCCAGGACTACTCGATGCATAACCTGGGAGTTTTCCTAGTCATCTGTAAGCAGAAAGTGACCTCTATTTCAGGAAGGGACCAGGTCACATTTGCGAAGCCATTCTGCGCATCGGGCAGTTGCCATGTCTCGGGCTGCCGTGGCTGGACTGTGTCGACCATTCTCTTCATGGTTGTGGTGAACCTATGCAGGGGTGCTGTTTTCTTTGGCAAATGCTGACCTAGCCCTGGTCCTGACAGAACAGGGCTCTGGCTTTTGCTGCTGGGCAGGGTGAGCTCCTCCTGTTTGCTCAAGGAGGGGAGGCAGGGTGGCACACCAGGACCTCCAAGGGAGGACTATGCTGAGGGTCAGGAAGGACCCAAAAAGCAGGCGGCTCTGAAGCTATGCCAGGGCTGGATGATAGCTGACACCAGATAAACTTCTCTTCTGCCAGCCTGGGGTGTGTGGGGTGGCACCAGCCCCACCCCCATAGGGGAATGTGGAAGGCCTTGCCCCTGGCTACTCAGCCAGATCTGTAGACTCACAAGCTAAGCCAGAGCCTCATCGGCTAAAAGAGCCTCAGTTTCCTTCTGTGAAATGGGCTGAGTGCTTCTCTGGGGGAAAAGTTGGATCCAGAGAGAAGAAAGCCCAGGAAGTGAGGGGGCCTGGCCAGCTGGAGGCTGGAGCATGACTGGAGCAGTGAGTGCAAAGGACTTTACCTGGACCTTCTAAAGAAGAATAAGAACTTCCTGAAATGTCCCTCATGGCTATAGGGGTTCCTAGTGGAGGGAAGACCCAGGCAGGTGTTAAGGGGACCCCCTGGGGAAGAGAGACCAGTGGGCCCTAGACTGGGTGCTGTGAGTTTCTGAACCTCTTTTGGGCACATTGCCACTTGCTGGGGAGCCAGAAGAGACCAAGGGAGGGGAGGAGAGGGATGGAAGTCACAGAACCTCCTCCTGCTTCGAATACCTGGATGTGAGCGGAGGAGACCTGCATAACCTGCAGCAGAGGGCGCATGGGGCTCCCTCTGGAGTTATGTAGGGAGGGGCCCGAGTTCATGTTGCATACATTTTCCTATTAAATAATAATAACTAATATGTTGAGTTACTTATTATTGTTATTATTGAGACAGGATAGGGTCTTATGTAGTCCCTGCTGGCTTCAGACTTGTGGCAACCCTCCTGCCTCTACCTCCCAAGGATCACATAGTTGAAGCTATTCCAGGTCCATAAGACTCAACCATTAGGGTGTGTGTGTGTGTGTGTGTGTGTGTGTGTGTGTGTGTGTGTGTGTGTGTGTTTACCCTTGTACCTCTGGAATTTAAACACTCTTCTGGATCTAGGACTTGCAAATAGCCGTTTGCATGGGGAAGGCTGCATCTGGAATACTGTGATGCTAGTCAAGGCCCAGGTGGCCTCCTGCAGGCCAGGCCCAGCTGCCCACCACACTGCTGCCTTTCATGTTCCTGGAACAGCCTGGCACAGAACTGGCCCTGGGAGAGTGTGCGCTGGCTGAGTGACTCAGTGTGGTTCCTTGTGTGCCTGTTTCAGACAGAGAAAGGGACAGCTGGGTGGCTCCTGTCTTTCTTGAGATCTTGATGGACCCAGTGTTCTAGAACACTTCACATCCAGAGCAGGAATTCCAAGGTTCCTCCCACAGTCCTCCTTTGGCACAGAGCGGGTGGTGTGTGGTTGTGGTGTGGCCTGCCCAGGCGCCTGGAGCCTGTCTCTTGCCCCTTTGTCTCCTGTGACACAATGGGTGACTTTTTGTCCCCATAAAGTCCTTTTCAGTGTGGGGAGAAGGGTCAGGATGGGGGTGGAAGTTGAGCTAGTCCAGGCCAGGCTAGGCCAAGTTCTGCGTATCCCCAGCTGCCTAGCTGTGCCCTGAGTGGGGGAACCCTGGAAAGGGTCATGAGGCCACCCTGGGCCTCAGTTTCCTGGTAGTGTATTGGGAGCAGTCACTGAGATCTGTGAAAGACTTGGTGCCCCTACTTACCTGTGGAGGGCTGGCCCTCACTCTTTCTAAATCATCGTCCTGAGGCTGTGTTTGTGGGGCTGCAGTCAGAGCCAGTCGAGGTTCGTACCTGAGAGAGGGAGTGCGAACTAAAGAAAGGCTAGCTATAGATGGTAAAGGAAAGACAGAGACACAGAATAAAATCAGGAGGGTAGATTCAATTAATACCACTCTTATATACCTTAACCAAAAAGGAGAACATGGTAACATGTATATGGAACAAACAGACTTTTCTTCCTCTTTTCTCTAAGGGTTCATTAACCACACCTTAGATTCAACTTCTTGCTACCTGGCCTTGAGGGTCAGGAGTAACCACACCTCAGACCAGGTCTGTTGTTATTTAGAATAAGACATCCAAGGCAACTAAGAAGATGCCACATAATTAAAAAAACAAACAAACAAACAAGCAATTTCTAACATCCCCTCAAGACTTAGTGGCTCTGATGGGAGTGGCCCTGGACCAAGCCCTGGTCCAGCATGCACACTTCCACCTAGCAGCCCTTAGCTCCCCAGGGCTGGGTTTCCACCAGCAACACGCCAGTGTCAACCTCTAGGTCTAGTTGCTTCCCCTATGGGAAGCTTCCTCGCTCTGCCATTGCTTTCCTGTGTTTTAACTAAACCACATAACCACACTCCCCTCCATATGGCCCTAAGGTCCACCCCCACTGGCACACCTGTACAGTAACCAAGGCAGGCATTTCTGTCCCTGAACTTCTCACCCAACAGAAAACAGTATGTGCCCCAAATGAGGACATAGACCAGAAAGGTTAGGTGAAGACTCAAGGCCATACAGTGAGTTGACTCCGATCTGACACTGTCGAGAAAGTAGTGGGTAGATGGACACAGAGGTCAAGGTGACCCGAGTGCCAGTAGAACTGCATTCTCTTCTAGAGTCCCTCCTTCCCTTCTCTAATCCTTACTGAAGGTTACTTTACCTGTGACATGCTCCTTCTGGTCCCCTCTCACCTGAATTGGTTCCCACAGCACCCACCTTGTTGAGCATGCGTATTTGAGCAGTTTATGCTCCGATCTGGCCCAACTTGCTGGTGTGGGAGACCTTGAGGGTGGGGCGCCCTGGCTCAGAAGTGCTGCTGTAAGACCCTCAGAAAGCTGAGGCTTCCAGAATCTTAGCCCAGGACGGCAGCCACCCCAAACACAGAATGGAGGCGAAAGCTTGATGCAAACTGCATGAGGCTTTATTGTAGTTTAACGAGCTAACCCCATGTTAGCTCGGGTCTTTCACCCACCCGCCATGGTGGATGGCGGCCAGGAAAGACGGCCGCTGCGCATAAATCTTTATAGGGCAGCGTAAGGGGAGTGTCTAGGGGTACGCACAGGCTCACAATTGGTGTGCCTCCAGGCTTGGAGGGCTTGCCCTGTGTTGATTGGTCAACAGGTTGTTATGGCTCATAGGCCCTCCCAGGGTGGTTGCTATGCTCTCTACATCATTGCTGTGCGCTAGTCCGTAAAGCACACCCAGGGTCGTAAAGCATAGCGCCACCAGCTAACTTCTGATTGGTTCCTTGTCACAAGACAGGCATCTGACCTCTAAGTGACTAAGGTTCCTTGTCCACATGTTCGGCTGTTATGGCTGCCGAAAGGGAAGCCGGTTCCTTCACTGCAGTGAAGGGCTGTGAAGAGAGGCACCCTGGGACAGGCTGTGCTGGAGGGACCTGTGAGCTACGAGAGACATGCTCTGGACCAGAGTTCTGGGAAGAGGTCACAGGATTAGGGAGTAGAACTGGGGACAGAGGACTCAGGCCTGATTCTTTGCTCCCAGTGACCTTCTGCCCTTTGCTACCCCTGAAGAATGTGCCCCCATGCTGAGTCAAGGCTTCTGGCTCTTCAGCTAGTGTGAGGTCTGCACCAGTGAGTCCCAAGGGGTCCTGCAGCTTCTGGAACCTCTCTGGCAGGACCACACACATGGGTCAAGGGGTGAGGGCCAAGAGAAACCAGTTTGTTGGGTTCTAAAAGAGGAATGGACCTTCCTTGTTTTAGGGCAGAAACCAAGTCTCCTGCCTGGGCTCAGGGCCAGGCACGACAGCCCGAAGGGTCACAAATTCCCCTACTATCTACTGCTTTATCTTTATTACGTGTTTGCTGATTTGGGAAACGGGTGGAGTGGGACAGGTGGGGAAACCTGGGCTCCCACAGTCCTGCCCTTGGAAGGGGCTGACATATTTTGCTTTATTCATCCCCCAGAAACCCATTACTCACAGGTTTGGCAAGGCAGATCTGGGTCCCAGGCTCCCCCACCTTTTACCTGCAGTGTGCAGTGTGGCTCCTGAGCATTTGTGGAAGCACAGAAAGACAGCCTGGAGAGAGGTGGGCATACGTGTAAACATGCATGGACCTTTCCTGGATGGTCACTCAGAGGCCTTTTCCTACTTCCTTTCAGATAGTAGGGACCAGCCAACCCAGTGTCAGGGTGAGGGACCCGAAACCTACTCCACACAAGAGCTCACAGCCCCTAGCAGGCCCACCTTCCCACTCTTCACCTGAGAAGCTACCTTAGATGTTTTCCAAGGAGTCTTCATTCTCCTGACAGAAGTGACCCCACCCAGCTCTGGGGCTTTGTGGCCTTTCTAGTGTGTCTGTTTCAGGCATGGTGATGGGGGGTGGGGCAGGTGTGGTGCCACATGCTTGTAATATCAGTACATGAGAAGCGGAAATGTGAGTTCAAGGCCTGTCTGGACTAATGAGACCTTGCCAAGAGAGAGAGAAGCAGGGTGGGGGAAGAAACGGAGGGAGGGAGGGAGGGAAGAAGGTGCGTGTGTAGCCTATTCCAAGATAACAGTGTGTGTGTGTGTGTTTGTGTGTGTGTGTGTGTGTGTGTGTGTGTGTGTGTGTGTGTGTAGGCATAAGCATGCCAAAGTATATATATGGAGGGTGGAGGACAGCTTTCAGCAGTCAGCTCTCCCCTACCATATACATTCTGGAGATCTAACTCAGGTCAGCAGACTTGGTGGCAAGCGCCACCTGCTGACCTCTCTCCCTGGCCCTTGAGTTGTAATTAAACGAGAGCTTTGTTCCTAGTTTGGCATGTGACCACAGGCCAGGAAGGCTCTGGTACTCTATCCCATCTTCTTTGCTGTAAAGTGGGTACAGAGGCCTACACCTGGGCCTGCTTGTGAGGGTCAGAGACAACAATAAATGGAAGGGTGCTATGTGACATCGGGTGGCCGGGGCTCACCCTCACTGGGGAGAGCAGTTACAGAGCCCACTTTGGCCTGCTCATCTACAGGCTCTCTGTCATTACCCTTCAGGTGCATATTCTAAACCAAAGAAACTTCTCTGGGTCTTTGGTGGGGTGTTTCAGGAGAAGGTGTCTGGCAGGGCCCCAGCTTTGGGTCATGAGCTCTCTGGTGAGGACCTCTCTTTAGGTTCCTGGGAACTCTCAAGTGGCTTGTCAGCAGGGGACTTGTTCTCAAAGACCAGCCTCCAGAGGACAGCTTTGCTCCTAATATCTGACTGATCATGGCCTCACCCTTGGCCTGGGGCCACTGACTTTCATGTATGCAGGCAGAAGGAACAACCCTTCTGTGCCTTAGCAAAGGATGCCTTCTCCAAAGACACAGGTTTTCAACAAAGTTCATGCTATTAGCTTCAGCACACATAGTCGGGGATGTCCAGCCATCCTGCCACAGGGGAAGGAACAGTTTAACAGACAGTCTCTTGGCTTTCCTCTGTGAGATAGGATGGCAACACCTGTAGGAGAGACAACTGGGAGTTATGGCGATGGGGGGTGGGGCAGGCTGGAGGACTCAGAGCCCTGAACACAGACTCTGCTGAGCCAGAATAAGCATACATAGTATGTTCCCATTTGTGTGGAGGATGTGCTGGGAACATGGTTTTTTTCTTTCTCCAAAGGTCCCATGGTTCAGGGGTTTGAGGGGAGGAAAGGGCCTGAAAGAGATTCTAATCTTTTTTATTACACCTATTTAGCTATTGTATGTATACATAAACACTGTTATGTACACATGCTTGTATCAGATGACAGCTTGCAGGAGGCTGGCTCTCTCTAGCATGTGGGTCCCAGGATTCAAACATAGGTCATCAGACTTGGTTGCAAGTGCCTTTATCCCCGAGGTCATCTCTCAGTCTCTTCTCATACAAAAATTTTTTTAAGCCAGGCATGGTAGATCATGCCTTTAGCTCCAGCATTCAGGAGGCAGTAGCAGGAGGATATCTGTGAGTTCCAGGCTAGCCAGGGCTACATAATGAAATCCTGTCTCAACAAAACAACCCCCCAAGTTCTTATATTTTAGTGTGTGTGTGTGTGTGTGTGTGTGTGTATGTGTGTGTAAGCTGGGGGTTTGCCTTAGGCTGTCAAACTTGGCAGTAGGCAAATTTAGCTGATAAGCCATTTCATCAGCCCCCAGAGAAAAACTTTGTGAGTGAGCTCTCCTCTTGCACTGTGGGTTCTGAGGGGTCAACTCAAGTTGTCAGGCATCTAGGTTTTCAAGCTTGGGCAATAACTACTATTACCCATCAAGCCATCTTGAAGCTCCTCACCCCTGCTTTTTTAGACAGGGTTTTTAATAAGATATTTTTATTTACTTTATGTGTGTATGAATGTCTTGTCTGCATGTGTATCTGTTTGCCACATGCATGCCTAGTGCTTGGGAGGTCAGAAGAGGGCATCAGATCCCCTGGAACTGGAGTTACAGGTGGTTGTGAGCCGCCATGTGGGTGCTGGGAATTGAACCTTGGTCTTCTGCAAGAGCAGCCAGTGCTCTTAACCACTGAACCAATCTCCAGCCCCTAGACAGGGGTTTTGTTTTAAGATGGGTTCACACAGCTCAGGCTGGCCTTTAACTCAGTAGGTAAATGCTGGCCTTGAACTCCTAAATCTCCTGCTTTTTCCTCCAGTGTTGGGATTACAGGTATTGGCCTCCATGCCCATTTTTTTTTTTTTTTCCCCAGCATCAGTAACAAAGCAGAGGTCCTGTTGTGGGCAGTAATGGAATAAGAAGCAAACACTCTATAGGAGAAACACTGTTTGCACCTTGGGTGGTAGTGTCTGGGAACGTGGGGAAGGGCCTTTTGTCGTACAGCACAGTGGAGATTGAAGAGGCAGAAGAGTGGCCAGAGAAGATTCCCAGCAAGGAGGTATACAGCAGGAAGCAAGCCAAGGTTTCCTTTAAAAAAACAAAAAACAAAAAACTTTTTTATCATGCTTGAGTAGATGTCAGTGGACAACTTTCGGTAGCTAGTTCTCTTTTTACACCCTTGAGTTCTAGGCATCAAACCAGGTTTGTGGCAAGCATTTTACCCTTTGAGACATCTTGCTAGCCCAAGGTTTTGCTGAGTTAGCAAGAAAGGAGGCCAAGGCCTGGGCCTCCAGCTAGAGCTGTGGGGCGCCCCCGCCCCCCCCCCCCCCCAAGGTGCTGGGGCTGCTGGTGTGGGCCTTGATTGCTGACACTCCGTACCACCTGTATCCTGCCTATGGCTGGGTCATGTTTGTCGCTGTCTTCCTCTGGCTGGTTACAATCGTCTTCTTCATCATCTACCTGTTCCAGCTGCACATGAAATTGTACATGGTGCCCTGGCCGTTGGTGGTAAGTCTGGGGGCAGGGGTACTGTGTGGCTCCAGGCTGAGCGCTCTTGCCTGTGAATGATCCTTGACCTTCTGGAATTGTGAAGTAGAGGGGGTGTTGTTAGTGATCCTCCTGCCTCTTAGCTACCTAAAGAGCTGGGGTGGGAAGATGTGTAATGATTGAGGTGGATGCTTGGCTTGGCCCTGGAAAGGGCCCAGCAGCGAGGGGGCCCACACCATGCCCTTGCAGATATTACAGATATTGTACCTTCTTGAGGGTGGTCAGAATTTGAGCTAGGAGGTCTGAGTTTGTCAAGTGCTGGCTGGGGCCTAGCATGGATACCAGCTGCCTCCAGGAGGCCTTGCAGCCCTGGAGAGGATGGGTGCCTCAGGTTTGTTTCAGGCCAGCCTCCTCTGACTAGAGGAAGCACCCTGGCCAGACACAGAAAATGGCTGGATTTTTTTCTTCTGGAACCCGGAAAACCCATGCAGCTGGGTCTGAGCCTTTTAGTGAGCACAGAGGCACATGATTGTAAGACAAGCGAGGCTGGGACTAGGCGGTGATTGTTTACAATTCAATGCCTGTTGAGTCAGAGGAAACGTGAGTCATGCTGACACAGAATGGGTTTGTTAGATCTTGTATCACTGGCTAGAGCCAGGGAGGGTGTGTGTAGTGGTCACTGTACTTGGGGACAGGATTTGGGATTGAGGTGGTGGCAGCTGGATTCCTGACTGAGGGTCTAACCTCCTCTGAATATCCCTGGACCCCTAAAGAGTACTGCAGGGCAGGTGACTTGTCCCTGAGGCCAGGATGGGGTTCCCACACAGCACTCCATGAAGGAGCCGATTGAGTTCTGTTTCGGTGATTCTGGACTTTTAGCAGCAGGGCAGGAGGGCTGAGCAGGGTGATGACCCCTCAACTCTGGGAGAGACACTCCCAATCCCTGAAATGGCCAGGCAAGATGGACTAGTGAGCTGGGCCCCAGGAAGGTTCCAGAAACCTTGCATGCACCTTGCCCTGAGGAGCTGCCTCTGTCCAGCTTCAACCTCCAGGGAATGCTGCGTTGGTGCTAAGCCTTGAGGTGTTTGTTTTTTGGTGGTCCTGGGGGTCAAACTTAGGGGCTCACAAGGGCCGGGACAAATGCTTTACCAGTGAGATACACGTCCCTCGAGATTGGTTATTTTTTTTTTAAACAGTTTTGATGTGTAGACTGGGCTGACCCCTGCAATTCATGGACTTCCTGCCTCTGTGTCCGAACACATTGGCATTCCTAAGCTACTATGCCCAGCTTTGAGTATTTGGTTTGGTTTTTAGAGACAGGGTTTCTCTGTAGCCCTGGCTGACCTAGAACTTGCTCTGTAGATCAGTGTAGCCTCTGCCTTTGACTCCTGAGTATTAGGTTAACCAGAGTGTACCACCATGTCCAGAAGCCTTGAACATTTTTAATATGAAAAAATGAATATGAAAATTTTCAAGTTTTTATGTGAAATCTAATTTTTAAATGTTGGCAATTAAAGAAAAAAGATGTGTAGCACAATGAACTGGGGGTATGGAATGGGCCCAGCTGCCAACTGAGGGTTCTCATCCAGTCCTCTTGGTGTTGTATACAGTTTCCCCAGGGTCCTGGCCCTGGTATTTGCCCTTGAGTTTAGGACCCTGCCAAAGGGAGTCACTGGTGGGGAGAGGGATGTGAGGCCCATCCTAGGGCCAGCCACAAGGCCAAGCGCTGGTGTAGTTACAGGGAAGTTGGGTATGGCCATGTGCCACACACAGAGTGGCCTGCGTTTCTTTAGCTGGCTAGAGGTGAGTGACTTGTTGCCATGGCAAAGGAGTTGCCTGGTGTCTTGGCACTCTCCTCTCCCAACACTTCAGGCCTTCCTGCCAGGGCTGCCTCAGCTTCGGGGGTGGTGATGTTCCCTGTGGCTGTTTTACAACCTCTCTCCCTTCCCCCTACAGTTAATGATCTTTTTTGTGGCTGCCACCGTTCTCTATATTACTGCCTTTATCACTTGCGCTGCGGCGGTCAATCTGACATCCCTGAAGGGCTCCCGGCCATACAACCAGCGCTCAGCTGCCTCTGTAAGTATGTTCCCAGGGCTCCAGCCTTCTCCAAGGGGTCCACCAGCCCAGGCCTCTGTGTGCTCATAGGTTCCTGTCTGAGTGGTCACTTCCTGGACGCTCAGTGAGCTCAGCCTCACTCAGTCTTCCTTAGTGAATAGCAGAACCCGAGGGACCTGGACACCTGGGGGTCACTGTGGACCTCCACTGAGCTATACTCATTTTGCTCTGTGTGTCACCTTGCGGTGGCTGTTAATCACTTGGGCTGTGTCAAATGGCCATACACACTCCATCCACAAGGCCATGTACACTTTGCCCTAGAGTCACAGCCTATGGGTTCTTTTTCAGACAAGGAAGCTGGAGTTACAGTTATGTCCAGGACAGGGCCTTGTGAGGCTAGGCAACTACTCTGCCTCAGAGCTGCATCCCCAGCCCTGAATGTTGCCTGCTAGGTGTGTGAAGTTACCCATGGTCACTGAACAGTTGGACACTCTTGGTTGCCCCTGGTACCACTTGACATGTCTGGCCTGTGTGGTTGTTGCCCCAACCCTCAGAACATCCAGCTGTGTGGTGTGTGTGGCTGGGCATAAGGGGTGTGGCTTCCACACGTGGTTCTGAATAACTCTGCTGCTCAGGCTTTTGTCCCCAAGTCTGTCTAAGGCGACCCACTTGGTTTGCTGTCACTGTCCCATTTGGTTCCCTTGCTCTCTCTGACTGACCACCTTGGCCTCTTCTTCCCTGCCAGTTTTTTGCTTGCCTGGTGATGATTGCCTATGGAGTGAGCGCTTTCTTCAGCTTCCAGGCCTGGCGAGGAGTGGGCAGCAATGCAGCCACGAGTCAGATGGCTGGGGGCTACTCTTAGGTAGGCCGTGCTGTGGCCTAAGCTATCTGAGCACAGGGTTGAAAGGTTCAGGCATTATGCTGGCCTGCCCCTATTACCTGGTGGAATCCACTCAGGCAGAACCCTGGTCAGCCCAAGGTTCCATGGGAACTAAGTCTGCACGCAGGTACAGAGAACCCCTTTAAAAGATAGGCCCCTGCCCATTTACGCTCTCTGTTCCCGTTCTCTGTCCTGCTCTCTGTTCCCGCTCTCTATGTTCTCTGTTCCCCCGCTCTACTATGTCTCCCACCTATGCTCTCGCTCTGTCTCTCTATGGCAACCGGCCATGGCGGTCAGCCATTTACCCTGTTCCTCTTCTTAGTCTCCCCATTCTGCCGGGCCTTGTAATAAACTTATAGTCAATATGTCTGTCTCAGCATTTCTCTTTTCTTCTTTTTAAACAAAACAATAACATTTTGGCGCCCAACGTCCTTTTCCAGTTTCGGGACAGCTGTGTCCCCTTCGGGGCCAGGCCCCCTGGCAACTCCCACGGGCAGACGTGCATCCGGAGAGGAGCTTTTTGCCGGTTTTCCACTTGCCTCACCCATGGGAAATGCATAGAACCACCTTTTTGGTTTCATCCAACAAGCAGGTAAACAGACAAAAGCGGCTTATGGTTGCCGCCATTTTGGTCATGTGACCTACCTGTAGGCATGCACAGCTCCAGCGGCCTATGCCAGCAAACCTGTCTGCCGGATTTTTGATTTCTGCCTGATCTTTTTGCTTTTTATTTTATTTTTTGTCTATGATTTCTTCTTTCACTGGCTCTGTTGTTCATGGCTTTTTTTTTTAATACTGTGCCTTTCCCCGGGCCCCCGTTTTTTTTTTCGCCCCCC